TGCATTTGTATTATTTTAATTGTAGTACAGAAATACAAACAAATACTTAAGCGAGTTTAATTTTAAATGCTGAATGGCGCTTAATAAATTGTGTATTTTATTACTTTATCCAAAAGTTATACTCTGAGATGTTCCGTGTGACTGGTGGAAAGTTGTATGACACGACTGTTAATTTTCAGGAGGTAAGCCCCAAGGTATTGATGGGATGAACAGTTGCTTCTGTTGGTTTACACGGGGTATTTCTTGTGGTATGGTGATATGTATTTTGTAGTTTTCATCTTTGCAGAATTTGTACATAAGAACATCCTAGTGAGGGCAGTAGCACTCCAGGTTGCAATTCGTTTACCATGTCGTGGTACAGTTGACTAAGGCGCTTATGGGAACATCCCGGGCATAGATTCGAACCCTCATCACTGCCGTTGTAGATTTGTTCATAAGAATGAAGGTAACTGCAGAAGACCTATTGGCCCATACGAGGCAGCTCCTATTTATATCCACTCAATCTTATTCCTATATGCAGATAATGAGTCACAATAACGCGGTTGAAGAAATGATACCTGGTTGATGGGGTTCTGGGAGTCCTTCTACTCCCCAAGCCCGGCCCGAGGCCAGACTTGACTTGTGAGACTTTGGTCCACCAGGCTGTTGCTTGGAGCGGCCCTCAAGCCCACATACCCACCACAGCCCGGTTGGTCCGGCCAAATGTTGACCAAACCACATACATTATCATTCATATATGCTGATAAATGTAAGGTTTTTCTCCCTCTCAAGCAACAGTTGAAGTGTCGTTCGCGCCACACCAGCAGCGGCACCTTCCCCAAGACCCTCCTACACCGTCTGAAGCAGGAAACCCCCAAAAATATGATCAGAGCGTAAGAGCGCGATGGTAGAGGGACACGTCTCCTGAAAGACAGGAATTGTGCCATTATGAGGTGCAGGGAGCGGCGGGACTCCGGGAATAATGAGGGGTTCACGCCACGTGTAAGAGCACCGTTACTTTTTATTATAACACTATGTTCATGTGTTTACTGGGGAGGCGCACGCAATGCAGGGCCTCGGGCGGGGGGAAATATTCTCCCTGGGGGAAGATTTCCCTATGAGGAGCAGAAGCACATGCTCCTGTGTGCATACAGGTATGCAGGCGAGGAGTCACAATAACGTGGCTGAAGAATGTTGACCAGACCACACACTAGAAGGTGAAGGGACGACAACGTTTCGGTCCGTCCTAGACTATTCTCAAAGTCGATAGAATGGTCCAAGATCGACTTGATAATGGTCAAAGATGGACCGAAACGACGTCGTCTCTTCACCTTCTAGTGTGTGGTCTGGTCTACATGCAGGTAGTTGGGCCTGCATATAGCCATATTGAACCTATATCAAACTATGTAGTCGCATAATTATAAACAACCAGGTGACACACCGTCACCCAACCCAACCCCAGATGGCCATTGAGAATGCAGGACCAGATTATCCAGTTCGATCAACCTTGGTACTACCTCTCATCCCAACTCACATCCGCGTGGTCAATATATTCCTGGTTAGTTATTTTATATTCACTTTCTACCTCTGAGGATGCTAAATTGAACTTAGCAAAACACGTCATAAATGTGAAAATAATTGGTGAGGGTTAATTTATTAAGTTTTTTGCACAAGATCCTCTATGTTATATAATGAACACTAAGGCCAGAATTTAACATATTCGTCGTGAAAGTAGAATATGGAAAAAACATATAAAACATCTTTTAAATTAACTGAAGCGACCACAGTCGTTTCAAAAATAGTTGTGAATCATTCAGATTGTTACTGTTAAAATTAAAAATATATATATAAAAGATTTATTATAATAAATTTCATCATAGTTTTTGATACAAGTATATCACATATCTTACAATGAACTTTCACAATCCTTTCCAATCCTTCATTTCATATACTAAATTACCACGTTAATTATATATATTAAATTAAATTTTATATATATTTTATTTTACTTCAATTCTGCATAAACAGAATCGAGGACCATAATTTGCATATACTTATTGAAATATTGTTTTCGATATATGTATGTGAAACGTCGTCGTCCCTTCAACTTCTAGTGTGTTGTCTGGTCAACATGTAGGTCTAGTTTTGACCAGTCAGTGATGTCATAACACGTCTCTTGTTATGTTTTTCTCTTGTTTTTCTCCTGTTTTTCTCCTGTTTTTCTCCTGTTTTTCTCCTGTTTTTCTCCTTTTTTTCTTTCTTTTCAGCCACGTTATTGTGACTCTTCATCTGCATGTCATCATAATACCCAGTAAACTACTGACTATGCTTCAAGAAGCATTAAGTGTGGCACCAGTATGATATAATAAACATCTTGATTATTGGGCATTAACCTTCGTACCCTTAACCTCCCTCGCCCCCCCTCTATAATCCCCCTGGGATAATTTTCAACCGGATAATTAACTTAATTTTGGAGCAAAGTCGAGGCCAGAATTAATTATTAGTATTTAAGGTTCGGTGGCCAATTTCAGGGTCCTAGAGTGAGGAAGGTCGTAGTACTGACCCAGTTCAGTGTCCTAGAGTGAGGAAGGTCGTAGTATTGACCCAGTTCAGTGTCCTAGAGTGAGGAAGGTCGTAGTATTGACCCAGTTCAGTGTCCTACAGTGAGGAAGGTCGTAGTATTGACCCAGTTCAGTGTCCTACAGTGAGAAAGGTCGTAGTATTGACCCAGTTCAGGGTCGTACAATTATTAAGGTCGTATTATTAACCCAGTTCAGTGTCCTACAGTGAGAAAAGCCGAATTATTGACCCAGTTCAGTGTCCTTAAATGAGGAAGGTCGTGTTATTGACCCAGTTCAATGTCCTACAGTGAGTAAGGTTGTTATATTGACCCAGTTCAGTGTATTACAGAGAGGAAGGTCTTTAATGACCCAGTCCAGTAACCAACAGCTTAAAATTAATTAAAGCACGAGGACCAGCGTTCGTCTTCAATATTGGTCAATAAAGATAATAATTTACTGCTTTTACATTGTTTTAAATGTATTTGAGTTGGTAATATCTAAGCTTAGGACTATAATATAGTCTCCGAGGACTATACTAAAGTCTCGGAGACTGTATTATAGTCTCCGAGGACTATACTAAAGTCTCGGAGACTGTATTATAGTCTCCGAGGACTATACTAAAGTCTCGGAGACTGTATTATAGTCTCCGAGGACTATACTAAAGTCTCGGAGACTGTATTATAGTCTCCGAGGACTATACTAAAGTCTCGGAGACTGTATTATAGTCTCCGAGGACTATACTAAAGTCTCGGAGACTGTATTATAGTCTCCGAGGACTATACTAAAGTCTCGGAGACTGTATTATAGTCTCCGAGGACTATACTAAAGTCTCGGAGACTGTATTATAGTCTCCGAGGACTATAATATTTTGATTCTTGAAGCGACCTTCTCTATACATACTACTGACCCACGATCTTCATTCCTCGTAATCCCATAACTCAAATATATTAAATTAAATTAAAGGTTTATGTACAGAACTCCATTTTTTCACGCCTCATCTTCCTGTATCTTGATAATTTTCTTTTAAATTATGATACATCCAAATTTTGCGTCTCCTAATCAGCGTAGCATCATGAGTAGAACATTAGTTATGAAGGAGGAATATGCAATTCCTCTGAAAGGTCTTTGGCTTATATTAGAATCGGATTTGCTACCGACAATTCGGCAATTACAAGAGAGTTATCTCTCTCAATTCTGTTTCCCATGTCACCATGACTCTTTCTCTTGTCGCAAGGAGGGACGTCCACATTCAACTTGGCACTTCCAGATTAACAATCTAATTCACCTAGATTAAGTTGGCCCCCTCTGAGAGGGGCATTGTGGAACGATCATGGAAAGACATTATGTTCTTCCTTCTCTGCTGCCATTTTCTTATAGAATTTTAATCAGTTTGATTATTCAAATTTCTTTTAGTTGAATTCATGGTCGAGTTATTAGACGAAAGAAATTTGTTCTAAATGTTCACCACACCTCATTCTCACCAGTCTCCATATTACCTTGATGAACATTTATAATTCTACATTGTAAAGGACCTATATAAATATAAATAAATATAAATATATATATATATATATATATATATATATATATATATATATATATATATACATATATACATATATATATATGCAAACAAGCCTGAATGGTCCCCAGGACTATATACAACTGAAAACTCACACCCCAGAAGTGACTCGAACCCATACTGCCAGGAGCAACGCAACTGATATGTACAGGGACGCCTTAATCCGCTTGACCATCACGACCGGACAAAAGGAAGTGATAGCCTAAGCTATTTGAACCACTTCCCCGCCGGCACTCGGATAGTAATCTTGGGCATAGCATTTTATCAAATCACCTCATTCTTTGGGGCAACACGTGAGGAACACAAATGCAAACAAGCCTGAATGGTCCCCAGGACTATATACAACTGAAAACTCACACCCCAGAATTGACTCGAACCCATACTGCCAGGAGCAACGCAACTGATATGTACAGGGACGCCTTAATCCGCTTGACCATCACGACCGGACAAAAGGAAGTGATAGCCTAAGCTATTTGAACCACTTCCCCGCCGGCACTCGGATAGTAATCTTGGGCATAGCATTTTATCAAATCACCTCATTCTTTGGGGCAACACGTGAGGAACACAAATGCAAACAAGCCTGAATGGTCCCCAGGACTATATACAACTGAAAACTCACACCCCAGAAGTGACTCGAACCCATACTGCCAGGAGCAACGCAACTGATATGTACAGGGACGCCTTAATCCGCTTGACCATCACGACCGGACAAAAGGAAGTGATAGCCTAAGCTATTTGAACCACTTCCCCGCCGGCACTCGGATAGTAATCTTGGGCATAGCATTTTATCAAATCACCTCATTCTTTGGGGCAACACGTGAGGAACACAAATGCAAACAAGCCTGAATGGTCCCCAGGACTATATACAACTGAAAACTCACACCCCAGAAGTGACTCGAACCCATACTGCCAGGAGCAACGCAACTGATATGTACAGGGACGCCTTAATCCGCTTGACCATCACGACCGGACAAAAGGAAGTGATAGCCTAAGCTATTTGAACCACTTCCCCGCCGGCACTCGGATAGTAATCTTGGGCATAGCATTTTATCAAATCACCTCATTCTTTGGGGCAACACGTGAGGAACACAAATGCAAACAAGCCTGAATGGTCCCCAGGACTATATACAACTGAAAACTCACACCCCAGAAGTGACTCGAACCCATACTGCCAGGAGCAACGCAACTGATATGTACAGGGACGCCTTAATCGCTTGACCATCACGACCGGACAAAAGGAAGTGATAGCCTAAGCTATTTGAACCACTTCCCCGCCGGCACTCGGATAGTAATCTTGGGCATAATGTCCAAGATTACTATCCGAGTGCCGGCGGGGAAGTGGTTCAAATAGCTTAGGCTATCACTTCCTTTTGTCCGGTCGTGATGGTCAAGCGGATTAAGGCGTCCCTGTACATATCAGTTGCGTTGCTCCTGGCAGTATGGGTTCGAGTCACTTCTGGGGTGTGAGTTTTCAGTTGTATATAGTCCTGGGGACCATTCAGGCTTGTTTGCATTTGTGTTCCTCACGTGTTGCCCCAAAGAATGAGGTGATTTGATAAAATGCTATGCCCAAGATTACTATCCGAGTGCCGGCGGGGAAGTGGTTCAAATAGCTTAGGCTATCACTTCCTTTTGTCCGGTCGTGATGGTCAAGCGGATTAAGGCGTCCCTGTACATATCAGTTGCGTTGCTCCTGGCAGTATGGGTTCGAGTCACTTCTGGGGTGTGAGTTTTCAGTTGTATATAGTCCTGGGGACCATTCAGGCTTGTTTGCATTTGTGTTCCTCACGTGTTGCCCCAAAGAATGAGGTGATTTGATAAAATGCTATGCCCAAGATTACTATCCGAGTGCCGGCGGGGAAGTGGTTCAAATAGCTTAGGCTATCACTTCCTTTTGTCCGGTCGTGATGGTCAAGCGGATTAAGGCGTCCCTGTACATATCAGTTGCGTTGCTCCTGGCAGTATGGGTTCGAGTCACTTCTGGGGAGAGTTGGCAGTTACATATATATATATATATATATATATATATATATATATATATATATATATATATATATATATATATATATATATATATATATATATATATATATATATATATATATATATATATATGACAGTGTCAGACTACGGAGGAAAATTGAAACAGGAATTTCATTAAGTACTTTCGCATATTAATACATCTTCAGAAGGAGTGAAGATGGCCTTTTCCGTGGTCTGACACTGTCACATTTTTAATCACGTGTTTATTTTCGTGATACACACACACACACACACACACACATATATATATATATGTGTATATATATATATATATATATATATATATATATATATATATATATATATATATATATAATATTTCAGACTAGAATTAAAGTATTTAAAAGAACTTCACTTGTTATAACCCCGAGGAGAAACAGTCAGACAAACTCTTACACTTCTGGCGTCCCCCAAATCTCACCTCTTCTATATTGCCGTAAATGCATGCTCGAGCTGACAGATCTTCCGTTGTTACGTGCTTAGCTTGAATGCTAATTGTGATGCAAATGAGATGAATAGCTGACACGAATCGGCAACGACCCGGAAGCTGTATGACGGATGTGTAAGGTCAGCCGTGGGGGTCACGGGTCTAATCAAGAGGCTGGGGTGCTAAGGGCTCTCTAACATGACCCTTGCCACAGGGGCCTTGCATGGTAAAACATCCCCAAGGGTCTGCATGGCTACTTGACGATTATGTCTGAGAGCTCGGTGTATTTCTGTGAGTCCACTCTCACTTTTACTTGTCTTTCTTCTAACACCTCTATGTTTACCCCTCTCTGTGGCAGATCTGTGCTTCACCTTTAAGTTCTTTAGTTGACTCTTTTTCTACTCTTTCTGTACCTCCCCTCTGACCCCTCTGTGGCTCCCGTCTGACCCCTCTGTGCCTCCCCTCTGACCCCTCTGTGGCTCCCGTCTGACCCCTCTGTGCCTCCCCTCTGACCCCTCTGTGCCTCCCCTCTGACCCCTCTGTACCTCCCCACTGACCCCTCTGTACCTCCCCTCTGACCCCTCTGTGCCTCTCCACTCTGACCCCTCTGTGCCTCCTCTCTGACCCCTCTGTACCTCCACTCTGACTCCTCTGTGCCTCCCCTCTGACCCCTCTGTGCCTCCCCTCTGACCCCTCTGTGCCTCCTCTCTGACCCCTCTGTACCTCCACTCTGACTCCTCTGTGCCTCCCCTCTGACCCCTCTGTGCCTCCCCTCTGACCCCTCTGTGCCTCCACTCTGACCCCTCTGTACCACCACTCTGACCCCTCTGTGCCTCCACTCTGACCCCTCTGAGCCTCCCCTCTGACCCCTCTGTACCACCACTCTGACCCCTCTGTGCCTCCACTCTGACCCCTCTGAGCCTCCCCTCTACCCCACTGTGCCTCCTCTCTGACCCCCTCTGTACCTCCACTCTGACCCCTCTGTGCCTCCACTTTGACCCCTCTGAGCCTCCCCTCTGACCCCTCTGTGCCTCCTCTCTGACCCCTCTGTACCACGACTCTAACCCCTCTGTACCTCCACTCTGACCCCTCTGTGCCTCCACTCTGACCCCTCTGTGCCTCCCCTCTGACCCCTTTGTGCCTCCACTCTGACCCCTATGTGCCTCCACTCTGACCCCTCTGTGCCTCCCCTCTGACCCCTCTGTGCCTCCCCTCTGACCCTTTTGTGCCTCCCCTCTGACCCCTCTGAGCCTCCACTCTGACCCCTCTGTGCCTCCCCTCTGACCCCTCTGTGCCTCCCCTCTGACCCCTCTGTGCCTCCCCTCTGACCCTTCTGTGCCTCCCCTCTGACCCCTCTTTGGCTCCCCTCTGACCCCTCTGTACCTCCCCTCTGACCCCTCTGTGCCTCCACTCTGACCCCACTGTGCCTCCCCTCTAACCCCTCTGTGCCTCCACTCTCACCCCTCTGTGCCTCCCCTCTGACCCCTCTGCACCTCCACTCTGACCCCTCTGTGCCTCCCCTCTGACCCCTCTGTGGGTCGTCTCTGACCCCTCTGTACCTCCCCTCTGAGCCTCCACTCTGACCCCTCTGTGCCTCCCCTCTAACCGCTCTGTGCCTCCACTCTGACCCCTCTGTGCCTCCCCTCTGACCCCTCTGTGCCTCCCTTCTGACCCCTCTGTGCCACCACTCTGACCCTTCTGTGCCTCCCCTCTGACCCCTCTGTACCTCCCCTCTGACCCCTCTGTGCCACCACTCTGACCCCTCTGTGCCACCACTCTAACCTCTCCTACTCAACTTGTTTACGAATACAAGTATCCACTCACATCTTGCATGAATAACTGTAATAGATATAAAATTCATCCTGCCAGTATATAATTAATTATTTATTTAATTAATTTATAACTTATAATAAATATTTATAATTTATATACACTCGTAATATTGGTAATAATTACTATTTTATCATTTTCATCGAAATTGCAAAATAAAAAGGCAAAATGAAAGTGTATTTGACCACGTACATGGCTGGTGTTTATATAGAGCAAAATGTATAAATATCTCAATGTTTACATTCCAGCGACGCTGCTCTGTATTTTTAGAGCTTGTGTTCA